TTTCAACTTAGTTTGAGAGGATGGGTGTTTTAGATTTGGGATGGAGCTTTTTGAGAGAGAGAGAGAGAGAGAGAGAGAGAGAGAGAGAGAGAGAGAGAGAGATAGATAAAGGATGGGTGGCTTGAGTAGATTTTCAATTGCTTGGTCGTGCTCTAGATGGTTGAAGATGACTTGTTGATGTTGATATGAGATTATATGAGCTTGGCATAAGAGCTTGGAGTGTTGGAGCTAAAGACCCACAAGTTTAGCAAATGAGAATGCTTGTGCTTGGCGTGATGTTTGATATGCTTGAGTTTGGGTGTTGAGAATTTATTGTTTGAAGCTATCACTATGGTGGTTTGATTGTTTGGATGTGATGGTTGTTGGGATGCTTATAGCAATCAAATGACTGGGGTTTCAAAGAGCATGGTTGAGGAAAGAAAAGCTTAAGACTTTGAAGGCTATGGTGTTTGTGACTATGATTCTAAAGAGATTTATGAGTTCCAGAAGTGGGAGGATGGAAGGAAAAGCTTGAGACTTGAAGGCTATGGTGTTTATAGTTTAGAAGGGTATGAGGAGGAAGGAAAAGCTTAGAGTTATGCTTGGTGAGGCTTTATAGGGAAGATGGATGATTTCAAGGTTAAGAAAGTAGACGAAATGGTTGTGATAGTTGAGGAATGGCTGCTAGAATGCTTGCAGCAGCCAAAGGGAGAAAGGAAAATGATCTTATGGTTGCTGGGATGCTTGCAGCAGCCAAAGGATGAAGGTTGATGGCTCAGGAATGACTGTGATGACTGCTAAAATGCTTGCAATAGCTGAAGAAATGTGAGTTCTCATGGTTGCTAAGAGACTTGCAGCCACCAAGAGGGGTTGGTTTTGCCTGGGCAATACCTCCCAACTTATAGAAGGTGAAGGCTTTCTTTGGTTTTCAAAAGGTAAAAGGAAGTGTTGGAGCTAGTGTATTTCCAATGGGTAAAAGGGAGCATTGAGACATTTTTATTTCCAGCCAGTAAAGCTAGGCATTGGAAAATAACTATTTCTACTGGGTAAAAGGATGTGTTGGAATTGACTTGTTTCCAACGGGTAATAGGGAGCATTGGGACATTTTTATTTCCAGTAGGTAAAGCTAGGCAATGGAAAATGACTATTTCATATGGGTAAAAGGAAGTGCTTGAAGAATATCTCATTTGCTCACTCACATTGGAGAACTCTAAGCAATGGGCTTGGACTTTGGTGCTCCCAAGTAGATAGCCCAAAGTCTCCATTATCCAAGAGTTCTGTGGGCCTTGTGGACCTCTGTAACCTTCCATGCCATAATCCCTTGTGCAAGCCCGTAAACGACATGACTTGAGTTCATGTGAGCTTAATAGGTGATTGGTATAGGACAAATGTATTATTGGCTTGGCATGGCGTGCACACTATTTCTATATTGATTTAATAAATAAATTCCTAAAATATAGCTTGGATTAACACATGACCAACATTATATGTTATATTGGGCTTTAAACGTCTTTGGGCTTTCCGTGGCTTTTTTGGGCCTCCACATTAGTAAACATGGGTGAAAGCATGGATTGAAATAAGGCGTATTTATTGTAATACTCCCTGAAACTTTGGTCAAATATCACTTTACCCCCAAAAGTTAAAGTGGCCCACTTAACCCCCTTGATCGTGTTTTTGTATTTCACTTTACCCCCCATCGTTATCTCTATTAATGACTCTGTCAATTTTGATGACGTGAAATGATTATTTTAGTATTTTTACCACAAGTGGTGATGTGTTATGTGAATGGCCCACTTTTTCTTTGTTTAAATTGAATTAAATATAAAATCAAATAATCAAATAATGTAATTATTTGTTTAATTAAAAAATATATAAATAATGGAAAAATTAATTTAAAAAAATCTTTCTTCTCTATGCCTCTCGATCTCTCTTTCTCTCCCCCAAAATTAACCAAGGCTCTCCAACAATTCTCTCCAATCAAATCATCCCCAAATCCCAACCTTCAATCTAGTGGTGGTTCGAGGATTCAAAAGCTTGCTGGGCAAAACTTACATACTAAACTAGACACTATGAGTGAATTTCACTAATTGCAATCGATGAGCAAAGCAATGCACATAATATGAATATGGACAATCTTGAAGAAACAATGTTTGTAATTTATTTCATGAACCACACAGATTACTAGCACCATCATACAAGGACCACCCATATTCTCCACTAGAATGTCGTTATTACCAACCACTTTGCGTATCTCATTTTTAAGAATCAAGGCATCGGTGTCTGCAACACTCACAATATCAAAAAAAGGCTCTCGAATAAATCCATCACAATCAACAATTCTTATAATAATAGTCATTTGTTCTTTACCGGATTCATAAAGTGATTCATCAACAAGAATACAAAATTTGTTCTTTCTAAGTTCTCTACAAATTGTCATCCTCACCTTGGTAGCAAAAATTTGCAAGATTTGTTTTTATATATCATTGGAAATGTATTGAGAATTTTGAGGAGCCTTATCTAGGACAACTTTCTCAACTTCTATATTTATTCTTGTAGAGGACTTTACTATTTCAATGAAATTGCCCCAATTAGATGAGTCCACGGATTCATCGTGGCCTCGTAAGTCGCACCAATTATTTATCACTTGTTGCTTTGATTGCTTATCTACCACTTTTTCAATATGAAGATATGGTTTTTTTTTAAAAAAAAAAAATTATATAAAGTTAATCCACTTTTGCATAGCAAGATGATGTGGTGAATTTAGCTTGGCTACATGATGTTGAAAGTACACATTGATTCCCACCAATTCTCTTCCATTTTTTATACCCATCAGCAATAAAGGTTGGGTGTGACTGAATCATGTAAAAAAGGAAGCAAGGAAAATAAAATACATTATTCTTGGGAACTAAATACTCAAGCCAAGTGAATTGGCCAAACCACTTTTTATTAAATCGATGAAAGTCTCGCCTTTCTAAATGACTTGGATAATCTTCTAACTTGTGTTGACATGGTCCTAAAAGAATATATGACTTCGCACATTATCTTGTTCATTCACCGAATAATTGCACATTAGACAATGTAATCCTGGATCACGCTTATGATAATTGATATTAAAATTATGATCATCATCGACTCTTTGAGATTCAACTCTTTTAACTGGAGGCTCGACAATGGGAGACTTGGGAAGATTTTGCTTATGACATATTGGAGTAGATAAAGAAATGCAAGAAGACAATGTACTAGATGATGACCTATCATTCTTTTCTTAAAAAAAGACAACAAATTCTTTGTTCTCGTGGGATTCCGACTATGATACGACATAATAAAAGATAGCCTATGAATAATATGTAGAAAAAAATTTAATCAAATATATCAACAAAAAATCAAACAAATTTCATAATAGCATCTCAACAATACCAAACCAAAAATTACAATTCATCCCCAATTAAACCCTAGAATACTCAATTTTAACAAAATCCCAAATAAAAGCCCTAGACTAATTCATCCATAATCAAAGTCCTAATTAATTTTAACAAAATCCCAAAATTGTAATTCATCCCTAATTAAACCCTAGAATATTCAATTTTAAATTATAATTATAATTAAAAATATATAGAAAATGAGAGAATGAGAATAATATTGGTTAATAAAAGAAGAATTAAAGATGTCGTTGCTAAGTTGCCCACCCAAGATAATAGAAGATGTAGCCAATAGAGGAAGAATTTGACCCAAAAGAAGAAGAAGGAAGAAACAAGTTACTATTGTTGGATAGCAAAGAGAGAGAAACAAGAAGTCTCATAGCAACTACAAGGTGTGGTGCGGTTGGCAAATTGCCATTTACAGCTAGCGAACTACCTAGTGCCTCAATGGCAGGGGTTCGAAACCCGTTGGAAGCACTTTGTGGCCAGGGATAAGTCGAACTCCGAGTGGGGATTAATCCCACTCTTCGGATGTGGGGACACCTCTTGGTATTTACCAAAAAAAGAAGTCTCATAGCCGAAAGAGAATGAGAGAGAAGATATGGGACCACCTGGATGGGCAGCATGTGTGTAGGGTTTGCTTTTATTTTATTTTATTTTATTTAATTTTGGGTTGGTCTTATAACACATGTAGGGATTTGTTTCTTTGAAAAAAAATTGGGCTAGACAGACACCCAATCTACCCCTGTGCACAGCACCGCCCATGCTTCAATCATCACATTCAAACCCAAAATTCCCTCATTCTAAACCTAAATTGAAACATTTATACTCCAAATCAAATGGATAGACCTTAAATTACTAGCTTTACAAATAATAATTCAAATCAAAAGACAGAAAACCATCTAGATCAGGCACTCCGACGTCGTTTTGTCCATCCACGCCCACGATGACAACTCTATCGTCGCCATCGTCAAGGGGTTGGTGTACACCAGGACATTGGACGCCAGACGGAATGGTCAAAGTGTGGAAGAGAGAGCAGACACTGCTGAAAAAAGAGGGTGGTGACGACATGGCTATGGGGGGTGTAGGTGGATATGGCTGGTGGTGGGTGTGGGTGGTTATGGATGATGGTGTGGTGGTTGGTTGCATATAGAGAAGAAAGGAGGAAAGGATGATGCCATTCTTTAGGGATAGGGATTCATATTTTATTTTATTTTTTATGTTTTGGAAATTGGAAGAAAAAAGCATGGATGAGTGGAGAGGGGGCCGCTTGGGCTGGTGTTGCTGGGGAGAGTTGGATCTGGATTGCATTTATTTATAATTTATTTTATTTTTAAAGCA